TAAGCTGTACAGGTTTGATTTAGATCAAATTTTTAGAAATTAGCCTAAAATTTATGTACATTTTCACTGTTTTATCATCAAACTATGCTCATCCAGCCGCATCATCAAGTTCTCGAGCTAATTTTTCGTGTTTGATGTCGTTCCTTTTGTAATTTGAAGCTTCTTGATGTCATTCGAAATCACTAAACTATAAAAGCATTAATACATAAGCACGTGTTAAGCTTTAGATATTCATCCACGATCATTTTTTCTAGTCCTCAAAGTTCTTCAGAGGACTAGAAAAAGCTTCAGAGGAAACTCCAAATTATCCAATTTAAATCGAATTAAAGAGTTTTAAATCCATTTTAAAAGAAAAATTTCGTAAAACAACACCTAGAAGAGTGATTTTAAGGCCATAAATTAGTGTAATTTATTTAATAATGGATAAGTATGACTGGATCAAAAGGGATCTTGAAGGCTATTTAATGGATGTATTATAATTATGATGAGTTTTATGAAGATTTATTTAAATAAAATAACATTTTATATGATTTTATTTGTTAAGAATTGAATTTATTATTATTTAACTGAATAAATTGTTAGCGTAGTGAATAGGAAGATACTCCCTTCCTGTTTGTGAACGACCTTCAAAGCTCACTTCCAAGAAATGCTCTTATTATACAGTTCAATGGAGCATAAATTCTAAATGTTGAAATTCGTAAATTGTTTTTCGACGTTAATTTTTTCTAACAAGAAAAATTAATTTTTTAAATTCGATAAAATAAAGCGAAGTAAAATTAATTTTCGAAGATCAGCAGTTGTCAACAAGCGCTAACAATATATCCCACCTTTAATTAATTGTACTTAAATTCTTAATTAATATTATATCTTTAGCTTCTTTACGAAGAAATTCTGCTCACATTCGTTTAGAATAACGTCAAACTGAGAGGGAGACAAATGAAAAGTGATGACTCAAATGACTACATTGGTCGCCGCGTCGCGTAGCGCGCCGTGTCGCATCGTCTTTTGAGCTATCTAACTTCATCCCGTGTGATGTTAACGACATAAAAATAGGTAAAATATGTAAATAGTTATGTAATACGTATATTTAATTAGTAACATTATATATCTGACTAGAATTATAAACAAAAATGTCTAGTTTGTTACTCATTCATGCGAAAAATGATCTTTTAGAATTATGTAATTTAGAATATTCTTTTAAAAGAATACAACAATTTTCTTATTTAAGCATATAAATAGCTGTAATATTATAAATAATTATACATCTTCCTCCTTGAGAATAGGAAATAAGTGAATATCGTGCGTGAGTAACCTGTTAAGTTTACTCATATTTAACTGAAAGAGGGCGAAGTAGAAGGTCCTAATTCAGGTTTTAATCTATAAAACATGACTTTGAATCGAAATAACACGTTCAATTTGATAAAATCTTTCATAAAATATATACAAACACATAGAAATGTTCGCCTTTTCTTTATATGTTCGTATGACTTTACTATCTTTAATCTTTACGAGTTTATCATCACTTGTTCTCTAATAAATTCCTAACATATACGTGATACTTGTATGATACAGTCTACAATATGCAATATATATGTAGGTGCATGAGTCACGATTCAAGAACAAGTAAAACTATTCATGGTTGAGACATGTAAACTTCAAGGCACGTACACACCCACGCAATTTTTATTATATTACACATTATTTATCATCCTTTATACGTTATAAGGACAAAAAAATGTATTTTTTAAAGCATTAAAACTGATTAAAATAGCTTAAATTATGAAAATAAATAAAGCTCTTTTGATATTTATATTATATAAAATATAAGTTCAAAGGTTATATAATTATATTTTTATATAAATTATTTTTAAAGCATTTAACTTTAATGCTGTATTGTTAAAAATATTTATTAAGAAATGACTTTTAAAATAATAACGATAAAATATCTTTTAATCAAAAAAAAATATAACACAAACTATTCGGCCCAAAAATCAGTTAACTGAGTCAGTAGCGTTTTCCTATAAATTGGTTAAACAACTTTTGGACGCTGTGCATATTTATTTTAGTATAAATTATTAATTTAACTGTTATTAAATAAGCTTAACTAAATTGAACTGAATTAATTTTAATGTAGTTCAATAAACTTTAATAATAATAAAAATAAATAACAATTAAACAGTATTATAAATAAAGTAATTGTATTAAACTCAAATGTAAACTTTAATTGGTCCAAAAATAAATTAACCGAATTACTTAATTTTACATTACTTTAGTTAACTGACTTTTGGGACATTGTAGAAGTTCACGAATTAATAATTTATGGAATTTAATTAATAAAGATTTAAGAAAATCAATTTAAAAAATGTTTTAAATGATATTGTTAAATTATTTTCTTAAAAATTAAACTTAAAACTTTAATCTTTAGTGTTATATTAGTAATTCTCCATCTCATTTGTGAATTAAGTGAAAGTAAATTATTACCTTCTTTTTTATACCCTAATTTCGCTCCTTAAACCAATAATTTNTAAAATAAATGTCATTTCTTATTTATTTTACATTATTTAATATTTCGTAACGCATCAATTCGTTGAGAAAGGAGGGAAATCAATGTAAACTTCTGAGAAAGATTATTCGAGATATTTTGGAAAATAATTGCATTTTTTTGTGTTTTTTTCTAATATTAATTATAAATTTTATTCTTTATAGACTTATGTATCGTGTGGTAAAAAACCTGGATGCTTTGTTGGTTCAGATAATGTTAAGTATTGTGGACCTTACGATATCACTAAACCGTATTGGATTGATGGTGGAAGACTTAGAGTAGATGATGATGATGAAGATGAAGATAAATGTAAATTATAAAATATAATTATCTTTATTTATGTAGTGGCGTATTAAATATTATTATATTTTTGGCTCTAATGACACTTTTTATGATACTTTCGTTCTTAACTATGTCCTGTAAAATTCTACGTAATGTATCTTTATTTTGTCCTGTATAGTTGTTTGTCCGCATTATTTGATATATAACTCGAAAATTCGCAATTTTTGGATAGTCTTAGATTCTCAAAGGTCAAGTTTACATTAAATTTCACAATTGCAACTTTGTTACAGCTTACTTCTAAAGTTAGAAGTAATACTTCCTTGTGTGAATAATTGATAATTTTATGATAAAATTGTTTAATAAATGTTATTTTTCTTGCCTTTTTTGGTATTATTAATCGTTCTTAATCTAAAAGTTTTAATTCTAAACAATTCGTTATTATAAACCATAAAACAATTAAATTCCTGTACTCTTCTGTATCCTGTCTAGCTCCTACATCTCTCTGTGCTTATCTTATATTATTCTTACGCTAAATACTACTGTACTTTAATAAATGCAATTTTATTTAATTTTAACACACATATTTAAAAATTTTTATAAATTGCGTGTCCTACTTTAGTGTTATTTATATTTTCTAGGATGTCCACCATCATTCATTTGAATTATGTTTATCATGTTATAAACATCCTTGAACAAATATAAACCTCTTAAAAGACATAAAAACTATATTAAAATCGTTTCTAAAGTCCTACAATTTAAGTATACATCAATGTTCGTGCATTCGTTTCGTCACAATAACATATACTTTTACGTCAATTTGACGTCATTCTCGAACTTTTTGTCATGAGAAAGTGCCATAATAATGTCAATTTAACGTCATTCTTGTGTTTTTTTCTTGAAAAATTATGTCAAATTGGCTTCATTAGAATGCTATTTTGACGAAACGAACGTTCCCTTAAAGCATATTTGAAATGCCGAATGTCCAATACATGACTTTTAATGTTTATTATCTTATAGAAAAATGCACTATAAGTTAATTTTGCTATTATTTTTTAAAAATTAATTAAAATGTTCGATAATTATTAATCTTTCAGCATTTGAAAAATGCAGTGTCAATAAGAATTGTGCTGATAAAACAATAAGAAGATATATGAATCGTTACAAAACAGACTGTAATTCTAATGGTAACTTTGATTGTTCTGATGTTTACAAAATACATAAAATAGGATTTACAGGTTGTGTTAAAACTGACGTAGAAACAACAGAAAAATGGTTACGTTTCTTAGAATGCTACCTCAACAATAGCACTGATCCAAGGCAAGCTTTGAACAGTATTAAACCAAAAAAATAAATAATTAATTTATAAACTGTAATTTTAATTGAAATCTAATTAAAATATATTTGTAATCTGAATAAAATTATGTTTAAATTCTAGAAAAATAACCAAATTTCTTGTCTAAACAAACGTTGAAGTTACGCTAATTTCAAGCTAAATTTTTCAAATAAAATGCATAAATTTAGTTTTAAAACTGCATTTTTTCTGTTATTTAAATATACATAAATTCATTAAAATCGAATTATATGGTTGTTTAAGTTTAGATAAATAGTTATCTTGCTTTGAATCGTCCAGATTGGTAACGCCGCGCGTCGGATCGCTTCGCTTCGCGACGTTCGTTTTGGAATTATATTGGCTATATAATCTTTTAAATTAATCTGTGTTCGTAATAATTTTAAAATACACTCTTAAATTATTAATTAAAATTACACATTATTTAACATTTTAATATAAATTATACTATTATACGTCTTTGCGCGTACGTCGCGTCGCGTCGCGATTTGAGAGAAAATATTCAAATATAATAAATCTTAACTCACTACAAACATTAATTATCCTTAAGCGTATTCTATAATAACGATATAACTAAAAAATATATTCGAACAATTGAAATATTCATTAAAAATCGAGAAAAATGAGCTCCTGTCGCGCCGCTCAGCATGCCGTAACGTGCAACGCGACGCGAATCAAATTCAAAAAAATTTATCTTAAAAAAAAAACTAACGGTTTGATAAACGAACAACAAAACAGGTTAATTGCGTAACATCTTCAACTCTAGAGAATCTTAATTAAAATTAATTTTTATGTCATTAAATCCGCATTTAATATATTTATAATGGGTCATAAATAATTCTCGCCCTTCAAATGAATCATTTAAATTGCAAAAGAGTATTTTTAAGTGGATAAAATCATAATTATTTTGACATTTAAGTGGAAAAACCGAGTGGAAGAGTTTAACAAGAGAAAACAAGTTTAACAAGGTGACTTAACAGCGCTGATGTCAAGGAAGTGGCCCATTTTTTTAATGCACCTGTCCCACTCGGACACTCGACATTGACTTTCACTGCCAAATATGTTTACTCTGCTGCTGTTGAACGTTGTTTTTGCCCTGGTTACAGGTAAATTATCATTCAATTTATTAAAATTATTGTTCAAGTTTAGTGTTCGGGGTCGTTAATTAATGTTAAATCAGTGGCGCCAGTAAGAAGATAGTCGAAAGGCAGCTTCTTACACATCCAATTGTTTGTCAAAAATATGTCTTATCAGCGCTTTTGTCTGGTTATTTTTGTATAAAACGTATTATACCATTAATTTTTAATGTTAATTTACGTTATACTTGTGTATGTAACTTAACAGAACTTATGTGAACAATGGCGCGTTATTAATGAGTGTCCCAATTCAAAGGGGCCTTCGAATGGAATTTCGATTTGGTACCCCCACCTTAAGCTGCCAGACACACATCTCAAGGTCAAACAGTGTCGCAAGTAGCATAGATAAATTACCAATAAGTATTGTTATGTAAGCCTTCTAGCTGACCAGATATTCTCTAAATGTGTAACTTACTCGGGGCCCCAAAATTTAATTAAGTTTAGGGCCTGCGCCATTCATTACACGTCGTGTAGGCGCAAATATACGCAAACATATGTAACACGTAGCTTATAAGTGTAAGAAGCACGCCCATTCAATAATACGTGTGTTCTTCTGTCTGAACAATTATATTTTACTACACCTTAAAAATATGTATCGTATATAAAACATTAAGTTCTGCCTTCTATTGTATTCTATACGAACAAGGTGATTCAAAAGTATCCATTCGAAACACAGACTACACTACACAACGATAGATGTGTTAAAATGCATTCTCTATGAGTGGGTGGAAAGCATTTATATATCATATTCTGTGACTTATAAGGTAAGGACAGTTGAATTATACTCTTTTTTAACGTAAAGTTTAACATAAATTATGCGTTTAAAAAAAGAAAAACGCCTTTTCTATCTTGTGTGGGTGTTTAAATGTGTGTATTCAAGCTTCAAGTACGTTAAAATAATGTTAAATTTTTATTACTTTCAGGACAATATTACGAAGGTTCTTATCAGGACACTTCGCCTGTTTCTGCACAATGCTTGCAGTGTATATGCGAGGTAGGGTGTTGTATTCTAATATTATGGATAATATAATTAAAAAATATAAGTAAAACTATAAATTTTTATATTAGGCAAGCACGGGATGCGATCTTAACATGGGCTGCCATAATGCGGGTCATGGAGCGTATTATTGTGGTCCATATTTAATATCGTGGGCATACTGGAGCGAAGGTGGTAAAGTAGGACAAGATCCTAGAAATCCTCATGGTATAATCTTGTTTATGATTCATAAAATATACGATATTATTGTAGTTTACGGTATATTAATCATAAATGTCTTGTTTTTTTTAGATTTTGAAGTGTGTTTGAAAGATAAAACATGCTCCGAGCAGACCATTCAAGGGTACATGACAAAGTGGGGTTACGATTGCGACAAAGATGGAGACGTCGATTGTTACGATTATTCTAGTATACATAAAGCCGGTCCTTACGGGTGTAACGGTACATGGTACAAGAATACCGATTACTGGAGACTGTTTGAGAATTGTTTCTATTAAAATTCAGCGACATCATTGAAGCGTGCTTAACATTGTTCAATTGATTTGCAATTTTTCAGCTGTAGTTACGACTAACATTACTTTATATGTTTTGTAGGCATTAATATTTTAACTGTAATTAATTTTATATAAGCTTCAATACTTTATCTTTATGTTTATCTTGAGTCACATCATTGTGTCACCAGTGTTGATGGGGCATTAAAATGACTTTTTTATATCAAATAAACCAATTAATTTACTATTTGTGAGGTAGTTGAATATATAAAGTTGAATTATTTATCAAAATAATAAGAATTTATATATAGCTGTTACGGTTAATTTACGCTGATGTAGTAATGTTTATAAAATTATTAATGCTACAGTCGTTAATTTTAATATTTTATGCAATTAATTTTATGAAAGAGAGGAGATTTTATGGAAATTTTTTAGTATTACACATTAAAAAGCTTTCAAAAATCGAAACAAAATCCTCAGAAATACAAACAAAATCTTCATGAATCTTTAACAACAAAATTTTAGATTTACAAAAGCAATTTTCAAAAACTTCATCCCTCTAAATTGTATATTAATATGAAAAATTAATAATATACTTGATTTAGGGCATTTGGGGGTGATTTTGCGTAATTTACGTCTTAGTAAATGGTTCCAAATTTTGTTTATTGTACCTTTTATACGATAAGTTCGACCGTACAAAACAAATTTTGGCAGAATTAAAGGAGGAGAAACAAGGATTAGGAAAGGGCAAAGGTCACATTATATCTTGTTTCTTTCTTGCTGCGGTTTACTCCACCCATTAAATTGGTGGGGAGGTTCTGTGTTGTCTCGTCTCCCTCGTACAAAGATAAGACAGAATACAGAAAGTAAACAAAAAGAGAAATCGCGTTATCTCACCAACTGACAAAGAACAGAATCAAAGAAGACAGAATAAAGAAAATCCCTTGTAAATACTTTAGATTTATAAAATATAATTATAAACAGAATCACAATTGCAATAGCTCTTCAAATTCGTATTGTTTAACATAATCAAAATTAATTTCAAATTAGTGATTGAGTCCTCCAAATATAGGTCTGTACAATAAAAACCTTTGCCATTTTGTTTCGGAACATAATGCCGAGCTTCAAAGAAATATATATACAGACACACAGACGGACTAACTGATTAATTACTTAACGTGTGGTGTCATAGACTAATATAACCAGACACAATTACTCCCATTACGAGAGGACCTGGCCCTCAATGGGGTCGAATTGGGTGTTTATTCTCTAGTTATAAAAGTAGCAAGACGCACGTGCAAGTGTCGAAAATGTCACGTGGACACACCCGATCGGTGAGACTAATTTTTTGTACTGTACTTTCGTAACTTCTAGTGACGAAAGTATGAGGAGTAACATCGAGCTCCTGAAATTGTCTATCTCTTTATACGGTGAAAGGTCAAAAGTACATTCGATACAAAAGTTTTTATGACGTCACTTCCGGTTATGTGCCTGCAGAAACATGTTTCTGAAAGAACTGAATAACAAAATAAAAGCTTATGTAGTAAATTATTTTGATATTAATTTATATAAAAGAAATAGAATTCGAATTCGGGATTAATAAGGTTCATCAAATACGCGTAACAATTTTGAATTAAAAAGAATATTAAAAACATCTACTTTCAACTTACACAATCTGCGCATAATTTATAAGGAAAATAATAAAAGAGGAAGAATTAACGGTTCAGAAATCACGCATTCCAACTAGCTAATTGCGTAATACATTCAAATTCCCAGAATTTTAATTACAATTAACACAAATATGATTAAATCTGTATTTAATATATTTACAACCGATTGTAAATACTTATAAACACTGGTTTAACGAATAATTTAAGTTTATAGAGAGAATTTTTAAGTTAAAAAAAAATAATTATTATCAAATTGAAGTAGAAAAACCCAGGAGAAGAGTTTAAGTGAAGAAAACAAGTTTAACAAGCTGACTAAGTGCAATGACGTCAAGGAAGTCGACTGTTTTTCTAGTCTACCTGTTCTAGTCAGGAACTCGACATTGACTTTCACTGCCAACCATGCTCACTCTGCTCTTTTCCAATATCCTATTTGTCCTTGTTGCAGGTAAATTCTTTATTATTTTGTCTGTGTTAATTAGATACAACTTGGTGTGTTAAGTAACGTACTCTTCGTATTGTTTTGTTAAGAAAATATGTCGAGTACATCACTTTTTGGTTAATTAGATAGAGAAAACAATAATTTGATTCGTGAATTTTTGTCTTATTTTTTATTCTTATCATTTTACTATAGTCTAGTCTTTATTTGTGGTAGATATATATGTTTATATGTAAATTAAACGCTAAGAATAGACAGTAAACATATATTTGAAGCATTTTAAATATCTAGAGAATAAATTTAATAAAATTCTTGAAGAATTTGACTCAATTTGCTGAATTTCTGCATCGTAACTGCTTTAAGGTTTGAAAGTACTTGGCCTTTGCATCTGTTCTTACATGTTTAGATTCAAAAAATAACAAAACTTAATTTCATTCGAGGTTTTGTCAGCAATGGGATCCCGAGTGAAACCTGAAAAACAGCATTTTGACTCGTGCTAATGGTTTTGTTTACGGTTTAACTTCCGCTTCTGGTACCAACCGAAAAAATATCCATAAGGAAGAAGTGCAATGTCCATTCTGAGCACGTGCGCGGAATCCTGATGGAACGTCATTCTTACTCATGCTCCTATTTGAGAGGCCTTCATACTTGGGGCTAAATTTATACAAATCTAAACGAGATACAATTTAAGGTCTTACAATACCGAGGTCCTGGTTTTATTTTGAAAAGCGATTCATATGTATTGTCTATTATTATTTGGTGAAAGAAAAGGATCTCTTGTTTGTTACAGACGAAAGCCTGTCCACACTATTAAAAAAGTATGATGGATAAAATCATTGAAAAGTGATTATCCATTAAACACCAAAACCACTGGCTTTGTACAAGGAGCACCAAAGAGCTGGCCAAATGGAGATTTCCGGATTTTCTTCACGTGTTAAGTTTTCCATAGAAAGTTTTCCCTGAAAGCATCCATCCTTGGCAGATGGCTTATTTATTGCGTTGCAGTATTCCATCAAACCACGAAAACCATGAACAGGATGAGATTGATTGTGTGGACCTTCAACTAACCGGATCCTAATTTTTATTTCATATATATTTAGGCAGCTTTTAAGAAATAAAATAAGAGAAAAAAAATATATTTTTAACTTTAAATTTTATTACATTTAGGACAATACCCTGCTGATACTTATATTCCGAGTGTTTCTCGAGATTGTTTACAGTGCATATGCAAGGTAAGAGTTATAGTTTTAATTATACTAATGCATAAATCTGTAAATATATACGTATAAAAATGTTTACGTGCTTAAATTAGGCAAGTACCGGATGCGATCTTAACATAGGATGTCACAATACCGGTTCCGGAGGATATTTTTGCGGTCCATATTTAATATCGTGGGCGTTTTGGGCCGAAGGTGGTAGAATAGGTGAAAATCCACGAAAACGAAGCGGTAAATATAATAATTTACTGTTTTATACAGTGTATTAAATGCAAATTGTCTTATATATGTAACATTTTAGGTTTCGAGAATTGCGCTAAGGACAAAGAATGCTCAGAGAAGACCATTCATGGTTACATGAATAAACACGCTCGCGACTGCGATAACGATAACGATATCGATTGTTACGACATTGCCAGTATACATAAAGCTGGCCATTACGGATGCAATGCCACATGGTTCAAGAATACCGATTATTGGAAAACATTGGAGAAATGTTACGAACCAATTGCTCATTAATTATTTGTAATTGTTTTTTATAAGCATTCATAACTAACATTACATTTTATGTTTTTAAACATAATTTAAAAATAGTCGAACCTGCGAACGACGGCCACTGATAAAACATAAAAATATGGCCGTTGTTTAAAGGTTATTTCGAACAGGAACGTTCCTCAAGAAATGGTTGTTGTTGGGGTGGCCGTTATTGCAGGTTCGACTGTATTTTAATTAATAGTCAAATTTGCATACTTATTTAATAACAATTTTTTTATAACTTAGAACGTAACATTTTTGTGGTTATGAAAGTACATAGAAACATATAAAAAATATATGAATTAATTTGAATTTCTGTAGTATTTTAGCATAAATGAATAGAACTACGTTTAAGAATATTAAAATGATTAAGTATACGTTTGAAATATTTTTCCAACGCCTAAAGCATTATATTGTTAATATAATTGAGTATTCATGTATGAGGTTCTTCAGAAAGCGCCGTGGATTTCTATAGAGTTTCTATAAACCTATCACGAGCATCGTAATGTTGAAACATGGTAAACTGTTGCGCAACATTTCGACTTAAATTTTACAAATTTAAAGCTATTTTAATAATTTTTATACATTTTTCTCCGTCATCATCCGCAATACATATTTCGAGCCGATTTTTCCATTCCAAAGATGCCGCGAATCCGTGACCAATCGCGAAGCTTCGCTACAGTTTAGGTAATGAAGAAATTCAACTTCGCAGTGACAGTTTATTCTTCAAATGACTTCAAAATAAATAAGTACAGAGAAATCATCCGGAATTAAGTTTTTAAATGCCATTTACGGCACCCTCTTATCACTTTTCTAAAGTTAACAAAGTTTATATTTGCGCCTCGACTTTATAATCACCTGCTTTAATCTTCTTACAGTGAAGTTAGAATTAATAAATTAATACCGTGTAAATCAGTATTTATGATACTGATTAAAGAAGAAAATAGTATTATCAATATTGAAATTAAGTACTTCGTAGAGTTGGTTATAATTTCGAGAGTGCCAACTATCATAATTAATTTTCACATGTGTTCATTATTATAAATCGTGTATGATATTTCCCGTGGACATCCAAAGAGTTACGTTTAAATTCATTAAAACATTTATAAATGAAATACAGTGTAACATTACCGGATAAATAATGATTTTAAATTATTCAAACGCAGATCAATAACACGAACATTGAATAATTTAATGTTTAAATTTGTACAGATTCTCGAGAACACTTTTAATTATAAAGGAGGAATTACTTTCAATGATACGAAATTCTGTAATAACTTAATTATGAACTACATCAGTATACATTCATATTAATACATGAAATTAAAATCAAATACTCAGTTTTGTTTCCATCGTATAGAACAGTGGTGCGCAAACTAGGGGTCGCGACCCCTGTGAGGGTCGCCAGAAGTTTTTTGGGGGTCGCCAAATATTTATGAAATGCATTATGCCTGCATGCTGCATACCATACAGTGTACATATAAAGAGTGAAGCGCCGTCACTCACTGTTTAATTGCAATTTCATGCAGAAGATTCAAGGATTTTCCTGAAAACGATCTTGGTTGGATTCGTGATCCATTTTCCTACGACATATGCAGTTCAACTCTTCAAATTAGTGAGAAAGAGCAATTGATAGATTTAATTAGTGATTATACTCTTCGAAATCAATTTAAGACTCAGCCTTCTCAAAAATTTTGGCTATCCGTGGAAAAACAATATCCCGTTTTATGCAAGAATGCCATCAGGGTTTTAATACAATTTGCATCAACGTATTTACGTGAAACTGGATTTAGCAAACTAGTTTCAATAAAAACTAAATACCTGCTCGCGTTTAAACCTTGAAGATAATGTGCGAATTGCAATTAGCAATATACATCCTAACATCGATGAGATAATTAGAAACTTGCAGCCACATACATCTCATTAAAGGGAAATTTACTGATTTTTATGTTATACAAAAAGTATTTTCTTAAAATTATAAATAAAATTAATATGAGTCAGATATGATGATGTTTTTATTCGATGAAACGAAAGAAATGCGCGAAATATACATCGTATTTGTGAACATTTATCTTTAGGGGTCGCCAAAAATGTTCTCTCTACAAAAGGGGTCGCAGTCGAAAAAAGTTTGCGCACCATGGATGTAGAAGATAGATTTTGGCATCCTTTTAAAGTGAATGGTGGCACGCAATTTATCATCCAGGCAGATTTGCATACAGGCTAAACAAGCGTATTAATCTATGGACGTACACGATTACAGCCGAAGCCTCATCTCAGTATTCATTACTTTTTATCTAAATATATAGGCCTATAATGTTTCTGAAGGAGTTGGGCCGGAAGACTCAAAAGTGCTCAACACGACCCTGTAAGAGATGACTTAGGGCCTCGCACTTCAGTTTCCAGAATACAGCTTGTTAAATCAAATTATTACGAATGAGAATAGTTAACGTCAATACTTACTATTCATCTTCATTTCTGAAATTCGTTTAATGTAGGGCGCCAATATACTATGGCTCATTAAAGCAGGAATGACCACAGAAATTTAAAGGAACAAATTTCCCTTGGCTAAGAAGTAGGAGCCCTATACCAGGGGTCGGCAGTTTGTCAAGTGAGAAGAGCCAAATTGTCATGAAAACAGGATAACAAAAGTACCAGAGAGCCGCATATTAATTTAAACGTGCGAAATACAACACACGATAGGGGCGCCTCTAGTGGACGTTTTTGGCATAACGTTACACGGATGGACGGACACGCATTCAATGTGTTATATCTATAGATATACTTCAAATGCTACCTATCTTATGCGACACATATTGATCAACGCGAGTGTGATCATGTGCGGAAGGCGTACGACTCTATCTCATAAACTCATAAGTTATAAGGCTGCGGTGAAATGAGGTGAGGTGAAATTGGAGTTTATGTCCGAAGAGCCGCAAAAGTCTATGCAAAGAGCTGCATGCGGCTCGCGAGCCGCTAATTCCGACCCCTGCTCTATACAATACGTTTATCGTTTACTTCCTTTACTTTAATATAATAGGGCATTAATGTTTACTCTGGTTACCCCGTTATCCTTTCGTTGCCCTGCATTGTAGACAGGCCTTACTCGTAATGGAGTCAGCCATAATAGATGCTTCCTGCTATCTAAATAAATTCACGTAGATTCTGGTCCAAATTTGGATTTCTTGTAGGGGTAAAATGAGATATAAAGCGCGAGACTGTACATGCTGCATTCACATTTTAAAATATAAAAATATTTTACGTAATTAACCTCCTTTCATTTAATAATATTTTCTTTTTTCTACTTTCTTCTGGTTTCTTACAATTCTTTTGTAAGTCTTCCAATAAATCATTTTTATGAGAAAATACTTTTGTTTTCTCATTTCTTTTTTAACAATTGAAAACGTCGTTAAATCTCATTCCGTCATATCAAACTAATGCTTCACTTATATAACTTTATCACAATACAACTATGAAATTAAAGATGAAATAAAACAATTTTATTGATAAAAATGAGCATTAGAATTGGCAACATTTCACCGATTAAACTTCCTAACAGTTATTAAATGTTGCCAGATAAAGACATTTATAAATTAATATAATTAGAAATATTAAAGAATAAAGATACTGCATAATCAATTTTGTTTTAAATTGTTCATGTAGACCTTGTTTACAAATAGGACTTATTATACTGGTATAATTTATAACTAGAAAAGAGAGGAAGTCTTAGTCAACAGATAAAAACCGAATTATCTTTATTTTCACTTGTATAATAAAATGTAAACATAAAATTTTAAAAGGGATGTCTTTAAGTTAATGGTGATATCAAATTTCATGTCATTGTTTAAGTGTTCCTCAACAAGGCTGTATAGTCAATAAGTAAAAGATATTCAAAATATGAAAGTTCAAAAGATAAATTTTTCAATATTTTTAACTCGTTGGAAGAAGAAGAATGCAGAATTTAGAATAGAAGTTATATTTTAAACATTTTCAATCCTTCCAGAATTATCAAATCAAAAATATGAAGAGACTTTTTATATTTTTCGCTTAACAAAACAATTTATAATTCAACAGCCGATCGTGGTTAAGTCACTGTGATGCATCTCACGTGAAGATCCAAAAATTTTCAGAGAGGGATGCAGAAAGAAAATAATATAATTTATAAAATTTTTTACTTGAGGTACCCGGCTTTATTAGGGAAATCGTCAGGAGGTGCATTAATACCCCGTGCACTCCTTAAATCCTCACCTGCGTGTTGTGTGATACTGTCTATCAAAGTTGCCAAATTTGCAACATGCCCTCGATAAATCATACTTTTTCTGTTCTCATAAATACACAAATTATGATTACGCGGTTTGCAACGCCAAAACTGCCGTAGTAGTGAATTTTGGTATTAGTTTTTTTACGCGAATGTCTTTGGCGTGTCCTGAAATGTCACCATGCCAGATTTTGTTGCATTAAGACTACTAAATTTCTTTCCAGACAGTATTGAATGGTATTGCGCTCACTCGGTGAGTCAGAAATGTCTCATGTTTGATCTCTTGGTTTGCTGACATTATTTGATTTACAGGAAAGTCGATGACTTTTAACTTGAGAATCGCTTTCAATCTTTGGCGTTTGAAATCCAAGGATTGAAAGTAATTTATAAATCACGTTTTGCCAGTCTTACTGCCCTAACTCGTTTTTATAAGCATTGCCATTCTGCAACTGTAATTTGCTGTTGTAAGCTCAGTGTCATCTTAGATGCTGACGAAACCACTGTTGACGTAACTCAAACATGTGAATTCTCCTTAGAAAGGCAACTTCTTCAAATGCCATTCACCTGTTCCCGGTAAATCAAATAATATCAACACACCAACAGATCAAACATGATCTTCGAGCATTTGTTAATAATGCTCGAAGATCACAGAAATAATGTGTTTAAAAGAAATATCTTATTTTATTTTTGAGAATTACCCATTTAAATATAGATACAATCTCTCGATTCATGCTGTAAGACGAATTTCAATTAGAATTATAAGCAAATACAAAACACAACATTGAAAGCAAGCAAAACAGCTAAAATGTATCTTTAATTACACTTTCTTTCCCTCCTTCATTCTATACTTTAACCTAAAATCTCAGATAACGTAAGAAGTGACGTCACACGAGCTTTTAATGCTTTTTGTTAACTTTTATTTCTCTTGTAGGAACTTGTCACAAGACTTACATCTCCTCCTCTATCATGTCACATATTTTTGTTTCACATACAAGATCTAAGCGTATATAAAAAATAAGTAAATAAATTTTATAAGCTGTATATTAATATCTAATATAACAGTTTATATGTTCCTTCCTTCTTTTGAATTAATTTATAAGCGTAATTGTAAGGAAAGGTTTGCTAAAATAGTTATATAACTTCCTTGTGTATGATGCGATTCAAGAGAGGAACACGATCGATAACCATGCAAAAAATATCAATAATTTCGTATCAGATAATAGATCGTTCCGAAAATCAATGAATGTTATCTTGTATAAATAATGAGCATTTAAAATCAAAATTGTTTTGCTGCTTTATACATTTTTACCTCTTTGATAATTGAAATTTTGCCAATAAATAAGCAATGCTCCTTTATACAGATATACGTGCTTCTTACACCTCTTTCTACTGGATTAAATTCTATATAATTAAGTACAAGTAAAATTTTTCAGAAAAGTAATTAAAATTTTCTCTCTAATCTAACATTTCACTTGTTTTTCCTCATAAAACTTTCTAAAAACTTTACACAGCTTTCGAATAAATGGAAATTCCTGCTCGTGTTGAGTCGATAAAATGGTTGTCACATACATCCAATGACTCTTGACACATTTATAGACACCTGTCCTCTTGTATTGCTCTTCCTCGTTGTAAAATGGAATTTTATAGGTTATTTTACAATATACACGATGATATAAGCCAGAAAAAATAAATATACGACAGATAGTAAAACGAAAGCTTACCAGAGAAATTTTTCAATAAAACTCATAAGAGAAAAGCTGTGACATCTATTGAACGAATTCCAGAAAGCTTTAAGCAAAACGTACGTTTATTTATTTTAAAATAGGAAAATAATTTTAAATTCAATAAATAAAGATAAAGTAATAGTTTAAATCGAAATTTTCTGAAATTTTTATCTTTAAAAATC